GGAGCACCAAAAATGGTTGAACAGTGGCAGAGGGTTTGTTCCCTATAATAAATAAAGTAGATTCAAAATCTTAAACTCAATCCAAATTCAAAAATAGTTGAAACTTGAGAGAACCTCATTAGGTCAGACAAATTTCTCTTTCCTACGAAAAATAGATAAAAGACCACAACATCTAGTTGCTTGGCAAACGAGCTATTGCATTTGTCAGATTGAGAGCTTGTAATATAGCACATTTACAGTTTCTGAAACTAAAGATAATACTGTAGACTGGTTGCTGGGAAAAAGATAATTTCCTATGCTACAGCCAGAAGTCACCTTCCTCTGTTGCATTCTATGCGTCCTTTGACAAATTTACAATAAAGGCAGAATTGTTTTTTTGGTCATGCAATAGAGTTAATGATCAACCTATAGGTCATGTGCAATCTTTCTGCTAAAATAAAATCATGAAAAGTAGCAAACAAGAAATTGCTGGGATTTAGAGAGAAAACGAAGCTTCTTACCACTTTTCAAAAGCTACTTAATTTTGTGTAAATCCTTTTTTTTGTCTTAGAGGGGATATTTAACTTAAACTGATGATACACACTTCCTTTAACAGTTATCACAGTTGGACCAGGATTCACATGGGCAATCCAAAATGAGAAAATTTATGGAAATAACCAATTCCCAATTCTTAGATTTGACTAGTCCTTTTTCCAAAACTCAGGTAATACCCCTAGATTTGACTAGTCTTATGCTCTTCATAAGTAGCAGATGATCTTTATATAAGAAGCAAATCTCAATATTTATAAAAAGCACACTACCTCTTGCTTTAACAACACTCCGCAACTGCCCTCCGAAAATTGCACTTAATTTTGAAGGAACAAAGTCCTGAGTTCTTGTGACTGCAGATTTGTTCTTTGGGCCAACAGTTTCCCATCCCTCATCTTCTTCTGACGAAACAAGAGATGAATTTTTCCCACTTGAACCAGATTGCCCTTCAAGCTTTAGTAATTCACCATGCATCTGATCCATCACAAAACTCAGGAACTCTTGTGCATCTTCTTGTCTGGAAAATGTTAATAAAGGGAGTTTTGAGATACTTTACAAAGAGTTGACACATTTCTCCAATTTACACTAATCGATAAATGGTAACCTCAAGGTCTGTCACAACAAGTACATTGAAGAAAACTCCAGAAAAAAGATACTAAACAAGTGTAAATAAGTACAGACCTTGGCCTGCCGGAAATGGCTTTAGGCACATCAGGAGTAAATTTCTTCAGAACTGCTTCAAATACTGCTGGGCTGAAGGGTGTACCAACTTCAATACTGGTGGCATCTTTCTTCATTAAATTTGAACCAGGTACAGTAAACTGAGAAAGAAACCCCACAAATGCAGCTAATATTGGATATTCAACCTTGGAAATACTGTGTATGCTTAGACTTAGCAAAAGCTCAACAAAAGGCGAACATGACAAAAGAGCTTGTAATGTAGCATTAAGGAAGCATAAGTTCCCTGAGTTGATTAGACCCCGAGGTAGCAAGCCTGCAACATCAAGAGGCGCACCAGATACCTCCAGAGGGGCCTGTCCTGAATATGCACTTTTTGCTGAATTGCTAGTGAGCCCATTCGAATTTCCTTTATTTAATGGTGCACCATCATCTCGTCCAGCTGTACTAGACAACTTGTTAATGGTTTTACCCTCATCTTCCGACACACATAAATTGCTAAAGCCGATATTGTGTACCATTGCAGATCCTTCATGTCCATTGGCGTAGTAATCATTCTGGACATCTCCATTCTGTTTGATTTCTCTGAGTAAGTTATCTGTCTTTGGTTTCTCATGCCCAGCTTTCTGCTCCTTGAGAGTAGCAGAGGAATCTGAGCCTACTTTCTCTTTGGAAGAACCGTGTTGAGAATTGGACACACTGCTGAAACTTCCAAAAGATAATTCAGGCACCAATTTTGAAGAATTAACTATCACCTTTTCTTCCACGTGCTTATTCGCATCACAACCAGATGGCGGGTTCAGCAATGACTTCGTTTCATCTTCAGTAAATGAACCAAATAAAAATAACTGCAACATCAAGACAAAAGAAACAATGTTGGCTCTATCAGCGCTAACCAAAATGAGAGGAAAAGAAAAGGGCAGAATCAGAGGCAGTCAGTAATTTCTTTAACTAATTAAAGTATCACCGAACGCAGCACAACGGTCGAGTAAATCTACAGAAGCTGCAAAAACTACAGACTGTAATTCTGTCATATCATACCGTACCAATAATTATATCAAATATCCACCAATCATTCCGACACATCTAAAGCTCTTAACTATTCAAACAAAGTTAACAAGTCCAAACCACACTTAACACAATCACTTGACACAGCTAACGCCAAATCCATGTACCGAAGTCATTTTCTGCCTGCAATTGTAGCAGCTCCTTTTGAGTCTTTTACTGCCAACCCCATCAGTTCAAATCCGAATTAGCCTTCACAAGACTTGTGTAACCACTAATTTATTGACTTAATGCACCTAGCTAAATGCAGGATATCACTGCTCAAACCACTTCTTCTATTAGGATCAACGAATGTCTATTTAACATTGTATAGAAGGTTTAGCTTAGTTAGTTAGTATTTGTTTAAAGTTGTGCCCAAAAAAATTTGTTGACTTGATCATTAACTTGAATTCTTGTAAGTCTTTATGCCATGTCTTAGTAATATAAAAGTGATCAAGTAAAAATACAATAGGCAGGAATGAACCCTGGTCTTTCATACTCCGTGCAGAGGCGGATCTAGGATTTTTATAACATGGGTGCACCACTAAAAAAGGAGAAAAAAGAAAGTATTAAGTGGGATTTGATCCCTAGTCCTCTAGGTAAATAACTCATCATTCAACCAAGTGCACCATTAAGCCTCTTTGGAGCATGGGTGCCACCAGAGAATACTAGACCAATTCCAAAAAAAAGTGTACATAAAATACCTAGTTTGACGGAAAGACCATGGGTTCACGTGCCCCGTCAATTTGCCTACAAATCCGCCCCTGACTCCGTGGTAAATAGAATATACCAGCAAAGCGCAAGTAACCACAGTAATTGGTCACTACCACAAGCCTGAGATATTCCCAAGTGATCTTACGTAACTTAGCACTGGACCACTTCCTACTAGACAAGTATCCATAAAGACAACCATGTGGAGAAAAAGGGAAATTTTTAGGACTCTTTTACTTTGCAGCAAGAAGCCATTCAACCATTAACTAAAATCTTTCTCTAACAGCATATCCATCTGACAGAAACATAGATTTATTTTTCACTTCCTAGGTCATCCACAACAACCACATACCATAAAAACCAAACTAGCAATCAATAACAGTAAAAATATAAACCAAAAAAAAAAAAACAGTCCGCAACTCAAAGAACATACTTCCCCCCCCCCCCCCCCCCCAAAAAAAAATGCACATCATCACAAACAAATTGCTTACAGCCAATAATAACCAGACAATGATAAACCTATGAACCATCCCAAACTTCTAAAGAATTGATTTTTATCCATAACTCAAAACAATCAAACATCATAATTCCACTCAATCACCATATATCAGAAACAAAGTGCAGTCTTTACCTTACTCAGGCATCCACAATATGAAGGCCACAAACCACAATATTACAACCACAACTCAAGAACCAATTTTGTCCATAATTCAGAACATTCTAGAATTACCAAAAACCCACCAAAAGCAAAAGAGAAACATCAACAATCAATAATACACACCTTAGAATCACTCATGCTGTGCAGAAAATTGTAGGGTGGAACTCAAAAACCACTAAAGTAGACAACTTTATAGGGAACTTATGAAAAATTAGCCTTGTTGCTGCAGACATGAAATAGGAAGAAACAAAGAAGGAGAAACAGAGCATTTAGTATTAGCTGAAGTGGATCCGATTATGAACGGGAGAAGCATCGAACAATTCTAATAAACGCAGAATTATGAGACCAACAAGGACAAGGATTGGAATATATAGGGATTTTGGAGGGTTTTGTTTTTCGTCTGTCCGACTGTCCCTAGTTGTGTGTGTGTGTTTTAGGTCAGTGGCTTAGGTTGTAGGTTTCTTTTGGGGAAAAAGAGGGTGCCGATCTCCTTATATACGTCGGCTTTTTTATACTGAGCAAATTCCAGTTTTTGTATACAGTGCATACCGACCTCGAACTCAATAATACTCCTCTGAATTTTTAGTTATTACACACACTTGGTGCGCTTTGACTTTCTTCAAAATTCTGTGCGGGTCATTTGGTTTAGAATTTAAATTATGTAAAAATTGGTAATACAATAATTTATAATGAATTTATTAGTATTGTATTTGGTTATTTTATTAAATATTATTACACATTAACAAAATAAATTATCGGTTATTACATAAAAGATTATTTTTATCATTTAGTTGTTTTAGTCATGTATTAGTAATCCTCATATTCTTATATCACATTTTATCCTCCATAAAATAATATTACATTACCGCATAATTTACTCGAGTATTAGTTATGTGTAAAGACTAAATGAAACTAAACATCACACAAATAACGTTAACTTTTATGTGGCGACTCTTTTTTCCACTTCTCCCAACTAAAAGTCAAATGCTTGAACTATTGCCAACTGAACTTCAAAGGTTACAATTTCTGGTTATGTCAATAGTTGTGCATCTCTTAGATTGGATAATTTTTCACTTATTTAGCATATATGCGGCTCTTAACTTTAAATTTCAACTTCTTTTGTCCCTAAAGAAAAAGATATTTTCCAAGTCCAAGGTTCAAAAAAGGTCCAGTTGTTTTTAGTGCAATAATAAAACTTCTCCATTATTATTAATAATAAACTTAATATCGTTTCACGCTTTCTTTTTGGCAATTCATAAATTCAATCCAAGAAAAAGTATAATAATACATCCATATTCAGATCAAAACACCTAAAATATTTCTTTTGGTGTATCCAACTAATCAGAGTGTTCCCTTGCCTTTTTATCTTTGAAAAGGTTTATTGGAGTCCATCCAAGTTATAAGGATTTCCTTGCTGAAAACTTAAAAGTCCATCAACCCCACAATACCAAGTGTTTGCTTTCACAATTACTTTTTGTATTTCAGCAGCTAACTAAACCTTGCTAACATAGAAATGTAGTACATCCTACACCAAAGCTTTGACATTAACTAACCTACATAATACATGTACACTACAATGACAAACATATATTCCTCCCACCATCTACAATATCAAGCACTGTATAAGATCCTGGTCCACCATACTTTTTATTTGATGTCAAATAAAAAGTAATTAAATATGATATTTAGCTATATCAAGAAAAAGCTGCAATTTATACACATCCTTGGTCCACCATACCGTTGGCAATCGTTAGGAAAGCAGAGATCACTGCTCCATGGACCAACGCCCTGCAAATATCACAACAACCTATTGAATCGAGCTAGCATGTTTGAACAAGATAATATCCACGCGAGCAATGTCTATCACAAAAATCCAAAAGGATAATAGAACATTTCAAGGGAAAAAAACAACAATCTTGTTAAGAAAAGAACTGAAGAGCATTTTAGAAAGAATATTTCATGCTTTATGTAGAAAGAAAAAACAAAAACACAAAAAGACATTATTCATAATATAACAAAGCACAGGAACAATTTCCTTCAAACTGTTCAATATAATTGTTGTAAGCGCTACAACAACAACAACCCACTAATATCCCACAAGTGGGGTCTGGGGAGGGTAGTGTGTACGCAGACCTTACCCCTACCCCGACGGAGTAGAGAGGCTGTTTCCGATAGACCCTCGGCTCAAGAAGACGGAAAGAGACAATTGTTGTAAGCGCCTATTTACTAAATCCATAAAATTGCACATAAAGACCACTTTTTTGTGGTGTTAGTTTTAGGCAAAAACTTACTCTGGACTTTCCTTTTGATAACCAAAATCTGTTGCCGCTTTTAGGGCTCTCTGGTATGTCTGTTTCATAGCCTCCTGCAGCAAGCAAGAGATCCATCCTCACTGTTACTAGGGATGACATTTGCATTAAAATGGAAAACAGACAAAAGAAACACCTGCAACTATACAAAACCTCATCTAGAGACAACTAGTGTTGGTTCACAGAATATTTACGGACAACAAGCATATGATAAAATGCTACATGAAGATGATTAACAAGAGGATATTCTTTCACAACTGACTCCAGCACATGTTAATTTTTGTTGGCTAGACCACGAGTAGGAAAAGCATAACAATTTGCTTTGATTGGCACTTGCTCCAACTAAATATATTTGAATTATCAGAAGCAAACTGATGAGCTTTATCATATTGACACTTCTACCCCTCTACCCCCCCACCCCCAAAATAAAAGCTCCAGTTCTGCATCAAGATTTAAGTGCTAACCTGTAATTTAGACTCAAAATCCTCTGGAGACCAGTTTAAATTACACTCTTTCAGCTCAAGTTCCCCTGCAACAACCTGCGATTGATGGTCAGAAATTTTATCCATCCAAGAAAATGGACACAATGAAGTTGCAGAAAGGTCAGTCCACAACAGAAGAAAATATGGGAAACCTCGTCCATGTTATTATGAGCATCTCAAGATATAAAACATATGTTGATACAAATTGGTGTTTCATGCTTGTTGCACCAACTTTCTTGCTAAACTTATGTCTAACGCAAGCTTCACAAAATTACTTCACAAGCTCTATCTCATAAAAGGGATGTCAAAAATGAGACATCACAAAAGAAAAGTTAATCAAGTAACGTGGAAGAAATTGGAAATGAATCTTTTGTCAAGCATTAAATAGGACATCAAACGTGTGAGATGCCCTCGCAGGAAGCCGGTTAACTACAGGACAGTCTCCAAAATCATTTCTTGTGTAAAAGTAAAATTGGGATCGAATGAAGAGAATGTTGCTTCCATCTCTCATTCCCATTCATGAGTTGAACAAAATTGAACCATTTTTTTCACAGTTACCAAGACTTTCATCCTTAACCTTACTAATAATCCATCAACAGTCGAAATTAGAGTTTGAAATTTCCTACTTTAGCATTATATCTTACCCATGTTGGAAGACCCAAGCCAGTATTACTGTCACATAGAAGCATAAGCTTACTTTGAACGCAAAAAAGATAGTAGAAATACATAATGACTTCCGTTGCAAATTCAGGTAGTGTTTGCTACTTTTCAACAAGTGAGTTACTTATCATGAACAGACTAGTGAGGAAAGTAGATCCTACCCCTCCAACACCAGCAGCCATAGAAGGAGCAACTAGGACATTAGCCTTTCTCAAAACATCAACTGCCTCAGCGGTACATGGCATAATGGAGCCTAAAAATGAACAGGAATACAGTTAAAGCGTTAAAAGAAAGGAACGCCACTTACCCACTCACTATATGGGTAGGAATCCTGGACAATAATAACAAACGAGTGATAATGATAACAGGAGGTTGACCAATACCTTCTACAAGTATATGACAACCAGAGTTAACCAAGTTAATGGCGTCAGATTGATTAATTTCATTCTGTGAGGCACATGGGAATGCAACATCACACCTTTCACTCCAAGGCTTAGCTTCATCATAGTACTTTGAGCGAGCATAAGTCTTTGAGTAATCTCTGCAAAAGTACTTGTAAGTATGCCATTTATTCAAAATCTCAAAGGTATTTGTCTACACAGCTATTGTGGAGAAAAAAACAAACCTTAAGCTTCTCTGCTGAGTTTTGATTTCTCTCAGGAAAGATATCTTTAAGAAATCAAATCCATCTTCATCCACCAGATAACCCTTTGAGTCTGTAAAATCATAATTGGCAAATTTAATAATTTAAGTATCATATTGTACCTGCACCAAATTAGTGGTGCAATGAACTATCACTCTCACCTTCTGGAAGAGAACATCTGTGACAAGCATAAACTGAATGTTCGGTGATTCCTAAATATAAGTTCTAAGCCAAGCCAAAATATAAAAATGAAAGAAGGTAGGTCGCAGGCTGTACTGGTTGATATTGGAATACAGATTTTTTAGAGAACGCCTCTAAGTTCACCATTCAAGCTGAAAAAGATTTCAAAAGAAATCAGAAAGTTTACCAGATACGGTGATGGGAACGGCCCCGTAAGCAATGAGCTTCTCTAGGACATGCATTGCAATCTTTCCAGAACCACTAACTGCACACCTGAACATAAAGGACGTTACAAGCATTATTTCTGATAACACCCGCAAATACCAAGAGCAAACAGCTTTCTCTCTCTACTTATCGATACCTGCCAATGCAAATAGTTTCGAAGCTCATAATTTAAATGCCTTGGAGGGGTCAGGCTATAATGACCTAATTACGTGCCACCTATAATGTCGGACGGTATAAATATCTACATGCTACCCACTCATGTCTTCTGACAAAGAGATCTCCGTGAATTTCTAACAGGCTTGCCATTTTTCAGCAATGCCCATAATGTAGGTGGATGCTCATAATAACAAACAGATCCAGTGACATTGCCATTCATGAGGATCAGTAAAAGAAGCCCCAAACATTAGGCTATTTTGCTCTTATATTTCTGATTTCAAACAGAAGGAAATCCATCATTTGGAAAGGATGGTACCTTAAACCTTTTAGTTCTTTGTTCATGTCTGCAAGCATAAGCTGTGCAAAGAAAACCTAAAGTTTGCAACAGAAATTAGTTGGCAGGAATGAGACAGGTATTTGACAAATTAAACCAACATAAGAAGAGACTCCACCAATCCGTAGCCAGTAGCCTCAGTTCGAAGACTGGAGCCTGACCAATTTACTCTAGGTCCTGTAAAACTTCCCTGCATAACGTGGAACGTGTATCAATTTAACTATTCATAAAATTAAAAAGAAAAGAAAGAGGAGAACAGAAAGGAGAATGTGTATAATCATTTGGATGATATACAACACATTCAAAGGAAAAAGGTCGAAAAAAAACTTCTTGCTCAAAAGCATTAAATCTGGCGGTTCACCCATGAAGAACTGTTAATTATCTATTATTAATATCTCTAACTACATCAAGCGCTTCAGAATTATGCTTCGTTTATATGATTGGCACAGCTGTTAAACGGGTGTTACCATGAACCCTTAGTCAGTTAAAGACGTGTAGAAACAACAAAAAGAGAATAAAATGAAAAAAGTAATATTTGACAGATAGCAATGTTTTATCTAGAAGAGTAGGAACCCCTACAGGAAGGACTAAAACCCCTACATGAGTGTTATCTATATCTTGACTTATTACAAGGACAACCAAAAACAACTTCCATATATATACTTGTAAACAAATACTTACCCGGACCATTTTACATGACAGGGTTTAATTGGAGCAAGGAGTTTAATAAGTTAGATCTACCTGTTTATATCAATTGGCACATCAAATCATTGTTTAAAAATTCTTAGATGTGAATTATCATTGTTGGAAGTGAGTCAAACATTTTGAGACATACCTAAATGGAAAACTGAATCACAAGAACCGGCACAATAGTAGTAATAATTAAATCTGCAAGTGTAAAAGAAGCCCTAAAATCATACAATTGAAAAACTTGCTTAACAGCTTTCGGTAACTTGCCCAAACTACCGAAGAAGCTCAAAAAGGATACCAACAAGTGCCTTGTGGTTGTGGACTTACGAACGAGGGAAATGCATGCACATTAGAACTTTCAATTGACTAACTGATAGAGATGCTCCTCATTAGATCAACAACAAAGCCAATTAGTGGCTTTTTGTTGAAAATAGCAGAGCCTTCTCCATGAACTATTAGTCCTTCAGCCCAATGAGATCATAAGAAGGAGACAGGCATACTTTCAGGAATTTATTTTTAGTTTTGCAGCTTTGTACATAACATAATGCTAAAAAAAGGGCAGCCCGGTGCACTAAGCTCCCGCTATGCGCGGGGTCCGGGGAAAGGGCCGGACCACAAGTGTCTATTGTACGCAGCCTTAACTTATTAAAAAAAATGACATAATGCTATGTACAGAATCCCCTCTTGTCCTCCTCACTTCATCTTCAGCAGAAATGACAATAATAACACAGTTCAGAAATCCATCAGATGGCATTCTCTTCTCTTCTACTTTTTCTCTTTTTTGAGTTAAAATATCAAGATCATTTAGCTTAGATCTGTATTCTGCTGTCACCCTACGAAATTCAGAAAATCTCATATAATATGTGAATTATTAGCCTCTTGATTCTCGTAATACGTTTAAGGATGTTAGGCTGTTAGTTTGTCTGGTCTTGATACAATTCTTATCCATGGTCACATTAGGTGCAGAAAACAAAAGAAATGGAAGGAACAGAATAAGATGATCTGAAATATCAAAAAATTAACCATCTTCACCTGTGAATGACCAGCCAGTCGTCGATATTGTCCATGCAGAAAGCCCATTTCCCGAGTACCAACACCCATCTCCTCTGAAGGAAGATCCTACATGATTAGATAATAATCAGACTACAGAAACAAGATATGATTTGACAGGAAACTCAAAGTAAAATAGACATAGAAGTTAGTCTTTAGCTACCTTTTCAGGACCCAAATAACGATACAATTCATTCATAAAACTCTGGCAAAATCGCATGACCTACAGTGAAGTAGGCAGGACGTAGAAGAAAGATTAACGCTTGAAAACAAATTCGTGATTAGAAATCAACATGGTTAAACATAAACATATACCTCACTATCACTTTTGCCTTTAGGATCAAAATCACTTCCACCTGAAGAACCCCCAAGTCGGTAAGGCGACAAGGCATTTTTCAAAGTCTACCAAAGGAGAGCAAAATAAAACATTATGAGAAGCAGCAAACTTTCTCAATTGAACTGCACATCATTGCTTGTACTCTTTAAAGAAATTATACACACATTACGAGTGTTTGCATGTAAATTAAGAGAGTACGATAATTAGCAGAAGATCACCTGTCCAAAGCTAAGAAATTTGGCAATACTCAAGTTCATCGATGGATGGAAACGGAGACCACCCCTGCATGGACCTAGAGTCTGATTAAAATGAACCCGAAACCCACGGTTCACATGCGTCTCACCCCTATCATCAACCCACGGCACTCGAAAAATAATTGTGCGCTCAGGTTCTAATAACCGCTCCATAGTGCTTACGTAACTAACATAGTAAAATATTCTCTTATCAGAGTTGTAATAAAAGTTGTAATGATTACTCTTTCATACATATGGTTTATTCTCAAGACAACTTACCTTGAGTTTTTTGAAATGACTCTTTCTAAAGCATGAACCGCTTCTTGAACAGATTGTATGAACTCTAGTTCATGAGGATCCCTTTTTAATGCAGCTTCAATGATCGATCCAGCCGTTTTTGACATAAGCGCTTTTTTAGGAATTACAACAGCAATGAAAAAGTCAGAAAAGAATCTTAGTCGCTAGGAACAAAATCCCACATCTACACAAACAAACAAGAATGAATGTGAAATGACAATCTGATACACACATACATACACGTGTGTATATGTGTGAATGTTCAAGGTGATAACAAATTGACTTCAGTGGTTATTGTCTCACTTTTATAAAACAGAGCACAAAAGTACTAAACAAAGATATACCTGTGATTCTAAACACTAGTCACAAATTTACAACTCTATCCCTCAATATGGAATAGAAGATCAAAACCAATTTTTGGCCCACCATTCCCATACTTGAGATCACCCAACTACTTCCAACATAAGAGTCAGTTTAGTATGTCAATTAATTAATTTGCCTACTCAATAGTCGTACAAACCCATGCAAGCATACTGGATAAAATTAACCTGTTCTAGAGACTTCTGAACTTCGCAAAAGTGAAAGGCATAATCTTCCAAAGGGATATAATAAGAATAAGATCCAGGGAAAGACTTAAGTTGGACAATTTACAAGTTTTTGCTTAGATTAGATATTAACAAAATAGCTGCTGCTACCACTGACATCAAACTCATATATTTCAATTTTTAGGGGTAGAGTTGGAATATATGAACTCCTCAAGGAAAAAAGAAGAAGAATTTGAAACCTAATTAACAACAAATACGGTTTCTACATACGGCAGAAAATTAAACTATGTGTACTTGATGACCTTCTAAAGCTATCATCAATATACAGCAAGAGGAGGTATGAAGGAAAGAGTGATGTTCTTGAAAATGGTTGACAAATTAAATAATTACTGCTTTAGAAGTCCCACACAATTTTTAAAATAAAAACAAAAGTGTAAAGGATAAGGTGGAATAGAGCCAACAAAAAAAAAATTAAAAGGGAAATTACCTTTAACATATATAGGTTTATCAACAACTATCTTATCTTTGGATGCCATTTGGAGACGAAGAGCTTCTTTGTGAAGTAAACTATTATTATGCTCCTCCAGAGCACTCATCTGCATGTTTCGACTGCCTTCATTTCCATAAGGATTCCTCCTGTGCTTCCTACCATACTCTCTGCAAACAGAGCAGAATATCCTTGCTGTGCCATCTTTCATATCAACATACGCCCACTTATATGTATCTGCCCACTCCTCTCTCCATCTTTTAACAACCTTCTTTTTCTTTTTCACTGGTTGAGTCTTCAACAAATCCTGATTCACTCCGGAAGCTTGATGAATCATCATCTGCTTGGTCTCATCATGCTCTTCGCCCGCAGATTCTTGTGGTGGAACATTAATCAAAGTGTTATTACTAAATGAAGGGTCATCATCCCCAGGCCCTATTTCCAAATCAATTTCTTCTCCTATCTCTCTCACTACAAGATGATGCCTCTGAGCCTGATGTATTAAGTTCATGTCATCCATTGTAGAATTCATCCCACCCCCACCAGTTGGAAGCAGCATTCAGCATGACAATTTACACACAGTATGATTCAGTCAGCTCGGCTGCGAACATAATACACACTAATAAATCTACTGGATTAAATTTCAAAATACTCCAACAGCATTAAGCATTAAAAGTTGAACAGTGAATCACACATCCAAGAGCATTATGAATTTTCTTCTCTGTGTTCAGGTTCAGAATTCTGGAGCCTAAGCGTGTGCCTATTGTGTATCTCTATTTACTGAAAGACCAGGCTCCGCAGTCTCCATTAGGTAAAATAAGAAGGAAACAAGGGGGATGAGGAAGAAAGAGAAACCAATTAGATTGAGATTATAATATTTTATAAACCTTCCGCACGACCTACCAACGATATTTTATGAATGCACTAGCAAGTCCTATAAAGTCAAAATTCAAAGTAAAATATAATCAAAAATTTATTACAGAGCAATCGTCCAGCACTCTTAATTCATGAAATGGAATTTGTATTGCACATATCCCACTTCCAAAAGTTACCTAAAACCTACTGACTGGATATAAAGTGTCCTCATGAGTAATATGAGAAACTAAATTGAAAGGACAGAGAACAATAAGGAGGGAACAGTTAAATAGAAAATCATCACTTAAATACAATATATTAGGTGCCATATGTTGCTGAAGACAATGCACTACAAACAAAATTGCTAAAGCAGATGCAACATTTTACTCTGAATGCAAAGCTCATGTTCTAGAAAAACATTAATAATTATGGTAAAACAGTTATGATCATCATCACTCAACACAAAAGTCACTTAGCAATTATTTTAGTTCTATTACTCAATGTGCTTGGTCAATACAAGAAAAATATGGTGCAAGGGAGGGTAAAAAGGCAAGCTTTTCAGAGGTAAATGCATATCTCTTAACCATAAGAATAGCTTAAACTTCTAGGCAATTCGAGATGCAAACATCAACCTATGTAAACTTGGGCCTAAAACCCTTCGGCATCATGGACAGTGGCGGAGCTAAGAGGAGTGAACTGAATAATTACGTGTGCAAATAGGACAAAAATGATTTTTTAGGTTATATATAAATTGTTAAAGGGGAGCCTTGGAGCCACGGTAGAGTTGTCTCCCATGTGACCTATAGGTCACAGGTTCGAACCGTAGAATTAGCCACTTACGCTTACGTCAGGGTAGGCTGCCCTTTTTTAATAAATTATTGAATCCTATAAGGAAAAAGTCTAGTGATGTGGCAAAGGGGGTTTAACAATTGCTTTGGATCACAGGTTCCAATCCCATATGTGACATTCTATTGTTGTTCTGGATCCACTTGTTCAGAATTCCTGGTTCTGCCACTTGTCATGGATATTAAATCACACTATAAAACCTATTAGGCCCTCTATTGAAGTATCTTTAAGCTTTCTACTAGCCAATTCGATTTGATTATCATATTAAAGAAAAGAAAAAAGAGAGTCCAGAGCTTCACATGAATGCCATGCATGAAACCTGAATAGCAATTAGATTATAAAAAAAGACACAAGCTTTAAGATGTCCACAAAAGATATATATTTCACCCAGAATCACCAAACACAGATGAAAACTTCTAAATCCAAAATGAAATATCCACAAACGAAAAAAGCAATCAATTGAATAATCGAATTAAAACAGAAATGTTGGGACCTCAATAAGGAGCTCCGAACTTCTAAGTCCTTTTGAGAAAATTGCCTCAGTCAGGTTCTTGTTTCAAGCTCACTGGAGTATAATTCTCAAATCTTCCTCTTCTACAAGAGCTGCTGGTGGTTAAATGGTAATTCCAACTGTAGAATGCTATAAATGGGTTAAACTGAATTTTCTGCAAGAGAATCACGGGGTAGTATACTATAGGGGCTATTAAATTTGCTATAGAGTTGTCAATTTGGCGACTTCAGTGACTCGCTCTCCAAATTGGGATTTTGGGGAAGAAAGGGGGTGAATATTGAAGAGGACTAATTTGGATTCTTTTTTGGGGAACAGAAAAGCAATGGCGATGGGCAATTCTTTTAATTTTTTTTTCTAATTTTTATTCTATTAATATTATTTATATAAAATCTAATAATAATTGGGTCCACTTTCATAAAATAGAAACTATATACATTTCTTTTATCAACAACAATAAACCATTATCTGGTAATCTACTATTTAAATTTATTTGTATTTTAAATGATGTCAACTTCTTCATGGAATCAGTTGAAGTTTATTAAATTTCATAACATATCTAGTAATTTTTACATTCCTATCACATTTATGAAACCTTTTTACCCTACATGTTTAAGGTTTGAGTAAATTACATTTAGTATATTAAATTATCATTTATATACCATAATTTAAAAAAGGAATATAATTAATAGGCATTTATATGAGGCATAATTATAGGACTTCCCACGTTTCTCTTTCCTTTCAATTCAACCCCACCCCCTCCGCACGTTACCCCTAACTCCCCCCTCCCCCCACGTTTTACCTTCACTCCCTCACGTTCTGCGTATGTTTTCTTCTTTACAGAACAAAAGTTACCCACATTCTTCATTTTTCTCCATTTAAATTCTTATTCTTCAAAATTCTTTCCCATTTTTAGTCAAGTTTAAGTTAAACTATGAAGAACATCAAATCTCCCAAAAAAATACCTAGAAAAACGACAGTAGGTGATATCCCCTCTTTCGATTTGGGTGTTTTAACACCAAAATCACCACAAAAATCCCTAAAATCTACACATGCAATGGAACCTACTACTCACAGTTCATCTCCTAGACAAATCCGTGCCGAGAATAGAACAAAGCATTTGCACGATGTCGATGCTAGAGGCAGTGGTACACCAGGCGGCAAACAACTCAAAAGAAAGGATAAAGAGCTTTGTGTAGATGACGACTTTGTTAACGATGTCCCTAAAATTCCAAGAGTAAAAAAACCCAAGTTGTCTCCTGCTTCCTCAAAGCAAAAATCGAAGAAACAATCCAAAAATCTCCCCAAATTGGTTCAAAAAAAATTTTGGCGAAGGTAAACATTTATTATTTTCGTTTCCAGTTTTGTAATTTTGTTTTGGATATCAAAATCTCTGTTTTAAGTGTTTTGGTAAATTGTAGATTAGTTGTCTTAATTTTGTAGATTGATTGTAGTTGTGATTTTCTACAGTTTATAATTGTAGTTATTTTGTAGTTGTCTTGTATTGCAATTGTCGTTAGCTTTTAAATTTTGAAACAGAGATGTAGTTACTTTCTTCTTCCTGCATTTTTGTAGATAATTTTTATATTTGTAGATGTCTTGTAGTGTTTTGTAGTTATGTGGATAGGCTGTATTTTTTTGAAGCAATTATGTATGTATTTTTTCTTCCTCATTTGTTTTTAGCTATTTGCGTAGTGATGGTGTAGTTATATGTAGATAATATGTAGATTAATGCTTCATTTTTATGCATTTTACTAATGTGAACTAATTTATCATTTTGTGCAGAATGGACATTATTTTACGCCACATAATGTGGATTATGGTGTGCTTAGATTCCACACTTTGTGTGATCCTAGCATTCCTGGCCAGATAAAAGAGTTATTGTCTCCAAATGCTTTAAAGCTTTTTAAAAATAATTGTTTTGGTTACTTACTGTCTCTCCCCTCTATTTGCATGCAAAACCAAGCTATTCATCTCCTCATGAAGTATAAACTGTCTAAGTCTAATGAATCATTTTTTTCAGTCAACTTGAAGGGGGGAAAATTAAATTTTTCATTGAGAGAGTTTGGTTTAATTACTGGTTTAAATTGTGTGAATCAGTTTTCAGATTATGGATACACTTCTAGTTATGTTAGCAAGTTAATGAATAGCTATTTTTCTAACAAAAAAAGAGTAGAGAAGTGGTATTTGAAAAACATAGTGACAAATAGATCTTGGGTAAACGATGAGGATGCAGTCAAGTTGTGAATTCTTTATCTTTTGGAATTTTTTGTTTGCCCTTCTGACAAAGACCATGTGTCTTTTATAGACAACTTTAGGTTCTATTTGGTAGAGTCTGGACGGTTTGAGTCATACCCGTGGGGTATTAAATCGTTCAATCAGGTTATGGAATCCGTTAGGCATCGTCTAAATCCCCGTGTACATTCTTATCTCATACGGGAATGCTCATTAGCCTTGCAAGTGTGGCTTTATGAGTGTTACTCGACCGTCAGCACGGAGCTTGCTACGAGGTCTCCTGACTCAATACCTCGCATGTTAAGATGGTCAGCTACTAAGGGGCAAATTTGGTTAACTGCCTTTGAAGAGAAGATGATCAAGCCTGAGTGGATTAAGGTATTTTTTTCAGTTTTGGTTACTGTCTACATTTACCTTCATAATATCTACAAATAGTCTACATTTTCTTCTTTAGTGGAACTAACTTTTTTTTTCATCATTCAGTTCACAAGCATGACTGAATCTGGAGAAGAGATTGGAGTGCTTACTCTGCCAAACAAGATTGAGTATGAAGATGAACAAGGTGCACAATCATCAGAGGTTCCAAATGTTGATTCTCCAACATTGGAACCCAAACATACAGATTGTCAAGAGGACAAGGAATCTGTGGCTAAGAAGCTCAGGAAGCTGGAAAAGGAAATTCAGTAGGTAATATTATTAACTACAATATAT